TTTGATCGGGCTGGACAATAGAGTAACATAAGGGCCGAGAACAAGGGTTCGAAAGGCTAGACTCGATGACTCATAGCTCGGTTCAATGGTTTCCAAAAATTAATAAACACAGAACAATAAAAATCTTACGTGATTAAACCAAAAATCGCAGAACGAGGAACGTTTTACAGTAAAACTATTGAGTACATAGATATATAATTTAAGTACCAAATATTGATGACATGACAACCGATATAATAAATATAATCTCATTAATAAAATTCGATAACTAGAATAATCTGAGAAATTCTATAAATTGAATGGGGCGCTACAATCTACCCTCATTAAAAGAATTCCGTCCTCAGAATTACAAAAGACAAACATCCGAGAAGATACAATAAACATAAGACAGAGACCTATACTGTGAAGAGATTCTGCAGGGCGCCTAGCTCGGTTGAGCAGGTTTATAGCTCAAGCATCTGAGAAGAGCTTCTTTTTCTTTCGTGCCTTGAAGAAGGAATCCCGTTTTGAGTGGACACCTCAGGCACAACATACGTTTGAGCAACTAAAAGTTCTCCTCGCCGAGCTACCGTTACTCACAAAACCAGAACCTATGATATTTTGGTGGTATACCTGTCGGTGAAGGAAGGGGCCATCAACTCGGTCTTGATAAAAGAGGAGCATGTCCAGCAGAAGTCGATATATTACACTAGTCGAATATTGCAAAGCACTGAGCGCCGTTACTCAGAGGTGGAGAAGGTCGCGCTGGCACTTATTTCTATGGCACGCAAGTTGCGGCCTTACTTTTTGGCACATAAGGTAATGGTGTGGACTAACTATCCGTTTAAAGACTTTGTAGGTCTTCCTTCAGCCTCCAGGCGGATGGTAAAATGGGCAGTTGAGCTCGGCGAGTATAACATCGAGTTTGAAGTGTGGCGAGAGGTAAAAGCCTAGGCTTTAGCCGACTTCATACAAGAGTGCACCGTGGGTAAAAAGTAAGGATGTTGGATGGTGTATACAGATGGGTCCTCAACAATAGGAGGTGTCGGACTAGGCGTCCTGGTTGTCATGCCCGAACAAGATCACCTGGAATTTGCGGTGAAATTAACCTTCTTAGTCTCGAAAAATGAAGCGGAATATGAGGCTCTATTGGAAGGGATACAACTTGTTTTCAAGGAGGGAACTGGTGCGTGCTTTTCCATGCGGACTCGCAGCTGGTCGTAGAGCAAGTCAAAGGAGAATATGAGGCTAAAGAGGAGTGCATGAGGAAATATGTGGCTCAGGTGCAGTTGTTACTAAGAGGATTCGAGTCCTGGAGCTCATACAGATACCCAGGGTAGAGAATTGTCGAGTTGACCTTCTATCGAAGGTGGCGGCGACGATGGTGGATTGCAATTCGGTTCGAGAAAAGCAGTCCAACGGTTCAAGACAATTTGTCGTCTCAACAAGAAAGACTTATTAGTTACTAGTAGTTACTCTGAGATTATACCGACCCAAAATCTAACACAATATAATATATGCAGTGCCCTGGTTTTTTGGCCACTTTTTTACACAAAAAATAAATAATTGCTATTTTTTTTATTGAAGAATGAAATATTGCTAATTTAAGGGGTAAATTGACAAGTCTGCCCTTATCAAATGTTTTGTGTTGAAAAAGTTGTTTTTTGTTTTCTTTTTTTCCAAAACGATTGTTGAAAAATTTATTGAGAACGTAAATATAGAACACAGAGCTTGGGCGAATCGAGCTACTCCAACAATGGCAATTGATGATGTGAGGAAGGGGACCGTGAAGTGGTTCAGCGACCAGGAAGCCTTTGGATTCATAACCCCTGATGACGGCAGAGACGAGGATCTGTTCCTCCACTAATCGGCGATCAAATCTAAGGGTTTTTGGAGACAGGTTGAGGGATCCGAGGTCAAGTTCATCGCCCAGCAGTGCAACAACAGCCACGACAATGCGGCGAACATGATCAGCCCTGGCGGTGCGCCCGTTTAGGGCGGAGTCATGAAGAATCTTACGACTGCTTGGAAAATCTTACGAGCTTGTGCTTCATATAGTCGCGTAGACATGGAAAAAACCGACAACCAAAAACGCGAAAGAGATCATAACTCGGCTGCATTGCATAGACACATTCAAACGGCGAAATATTGTCAAGAACTGATGAAGGAAGTCGGTTAATAGTGAACACAGCAGTACTGAAGTAACCGGGGAGGGTCCCCACAAATCACAATGAATTAAATCCAATAAAGCAGAAGATCGTTTTGTTGAAATAGGAAAAGACAAACGCTTGCTTTTAGCTAAATGACACGAATTACATGAGACGGACTTAGGAAAACCGGAAGTAACAGATAACAACTTTAAATTGACTAAAGTAGATAAAACAGCCGGAGAGGAGTGTCCAAGTCGGGAATGCCAAATCGCAGAGGAAGCACGCCGAGATATGGATGTGTGAGCAGCAAGGGCCTTGACTGCCAAATCCAAACGGTACAGGCCACTATCACGCACGCCGGTTGCGATTATGTTGCCGCTGTCCTTGTGCTGAATACGAAGGGAAGAGTCAGTGAAGATAACATGAACAGGTAAGTCGCTGGTCAATTTGCTAACCGACAAAAGATTTTTAGTCATTCCGGGCACAACTAGGACATCGCGTAAATAAAAAGAATTAGAGAAAAAAAGAGAACCAGATTGCGTGATAGGAAGTTGATCACCATTACCCACGGTGACACGATCGGAGCCGTTGTAATCAGTAAGATCATCAAGCTGAGACGCATCCGAGGTGATATGAGCAGAAGCCCCAGTATCTAAGTACCAATCAGAAACATTAGGTTGTGATATAGTGCAGCTCGATGATAGTGCTTCGGCCAGATTAGCTGTAGTAGATGATTGGGACGGCCGAGTGAAAGAGCGGTCAAAACGTCTAGGACAGTCCCAGGCATCATGGTTTTCTTCACGGCAGAAATAGCACCAAGGCTGACGACGACCTTTGGCTTTATTTTTCTTGCAGCGGCCTTGTGGCTGAGACGAGGCCGGAGGACGGGCCCTAGGAGCAGCATAAAATGCAACCGAAGAAGACGATGACGAGATGTCAGATGAACGTTGGAAAAATTGGTGACTTTCGGCGCGGGCAAGAAGAGTGTCGAAGTCAGGAAGGGGCTCCTGAGCAAGTTGTGCGGCCGTGAACGTCGAAAAAGCAGGCCCCAAGCCACGAAGGAACCAGTGAGATTTGTCGGTCGAGTCAATAGACCGACCGATGGCAGCAAGTTTGTCACAAATTGCCTTGAAACGCTGTCCATATTCAGAAACAGAAAGATCGCCACGCTTGACCGAGAGAAGATCATCCTTCAGGCTTAGCTCTCGAGCCTTCGAGGCATGGCTATAGGCGCGAGTGAGAGAGGTCCAGACATCGCGGGACGAAGTGCAGCCAATGACAACAGCCATGGACTCCTCCGTAAGAGTGGAAACAAGGAATAGCCGGATCAGTTGATCCCGGGAATACCAAGCGGCGAACTCGGGATTGGTACTTTTTGTACCTGCCGGTGTAGTGATCTCGCGCGATGGGCATGGGGATGAGCCATCCAGATGCGGAAGAAAACCCTGGGTGATGAGAAGGGATTCGATCTGGGCATGCCACAAAAGGTAATTTGCGGAAGTGAGTTTGATATTTACCATATGGATCATTGTAGACAAAGGAATCGAAGGAATGCTACCCTCGGCGGCCATGGAAGAAACAGCGACGGCCGGAAAAAAAAAATTAGGGTTTGCCAAAGAGTTTGGCTGATACCATGTGATAATCAAAGAGATCTTATTCTCACTTGCTTAAACTAAATACAAGAGTACGAATATATAGAGTACAATACGGAAATGAAGGAAACAAATAAACTAAAGATATGCAAAGATTTGAGTATATCATAATATGTCTAACACGGTAGAGTGGAGGTTACAATAGGGGAAGAAGGGGCGGCGGCGGAGGAAGGTACGGCGGCTGCGGAGGAGACGACGATTGCTACAGCTGTGGCAAGGATGGGTATTTTGCTCGCTGAATGCCCATCTTCTAATCGTGGAGCTTTTCATTGATGGCATATGGGTTTTTTATATTACTCATTTTCATTTTAGTCTGTGCACTTTTTTGCAAAATCAATTTATGTTTTATGAGATTTCATTTGGTCTGAATCGGCTATTTATATGCTTCGTGATTAGAGTTTGCCAGAAATCATTATGCCTTGTAGAACCAATTCTTGAAACTATTATAATTTAGTTACTAAAGTCTCCGGAAATCATTTATGGGAATCATAAATTAATTTTTGTATTCTAGAACTTGGACATAGAAAATCGATTTTGTGCTCATTTTCTTTTTGAATTTGAAGTGTTAAAGAGTGCTCATTCGTGGTTAGTATTGTTCCTTTTTCATGTTTTCTTTTACTTGTTGTTGGTGAAATGGGCTTCGCCCGGGCTCCTTTAACTCGGACGGCATCTGTAGCTGCAACAATTTAACGCCATGAAGGGTCCCAACATCGAGCTTCTGATGCCTCTGTCAGCACTCGCCAGAGATAAAGAGTGCAAATGAGAGTATAGTAGTGAATGTAGAGAGAATGAATTTTTGGGATACCTTAGTCCACTTTTATGGGAGAGGTGTACCATAGTGTCGAAGTTTGGCTTGACCAATACCATTATGCCATGTGTCATAGTCCATGTGCAGGCTTATTCTTCAATATATTCATTCTTATCCATTAAAACCGGTCTAGTATGATATTCGATATCACCTAGTCCACTCCTCAACTCTGGTCGAGTGAGCATAACTCGACCCAAGAGTGAAACGCGTCTTCTGGTTGTTTCTGTCAACCTAATGACTGAGGTTATAATTTGAATAAATCTTCGACCACCAAATGAACACTGAATATCCTAAATGACCACCGAATGGCCTCTGAACTGAATGGGAACAAGGTATAAAACTAAATGATCTGTCGATGAGGTCAAAAACTGATTGCCTGCCTTTGAGGTCGAGAACAAAATCACCTGCCCTTGAGGTTAACAGCTAAATGACCCGCCACTATGGTCGAGAACCGGATGACCATCCGATGACGTCAAAAACTAAATGACTTGACGCCACCTTTAGGTCAAAAATTGAATGACTGTCGATAAAATTGAACTCAGTCAAAACAGAGGTAGAAAGGCTCAGCCATCATACCTCTCTTTCGGAAAAAATGGGAATATAGGTTCGGGTCTCGGCTACAAATTCTCGGCTCTCAACTACTCCTCTGTTCGGCCACTTTTCAGTCGGACACAGAAATCACCTCGCCGTGGAAGTTTTGGTCCGCCTTCATCGTCGCTGGTGAGCTCGCCGTGAAGGGTCAGGGTTCTTCGTTGTCGAGTCCGCCGGAAGTTCAGCGTGACTGAACAATGGTCATCGGACGGTGGTGAAGCTCGTAGGAAGTCGAGAATCGTCGCTGCTAGAGATAGAGCTCGAACTCATCGAAAATTGTTGAAACGACAGGATTCTCGCTGCTCGCATCGGCCATTGGGTGTTCGCTTGCAGCCTGTCACCGGTAAAAATGGTGCTCCTCAGTTTTCCCCTGGTGTTGTTCGGTCGCGAAGGAGACCTCTCGCTAAATCTGGAGACCCGTCGTTCATGGTGGTGATTTCTCGGCGTGGTTATCGTCCACTCCTCGTCGGGATGCTTGTGAGATGCCGGTGGAAGTGGGCTGCTGCACGACGATGACGGAAGAAGACTGCATGAACGATGACTATCCTTAGACGGTTGGGTGGCGTCACCAGAGGTGAAGTGCAGGTCAGATTTTGCTCGATTCTGTTGAGAAGGGAAAGTGAGATGACGAAAATTTTGAGGAGGAAGAAGATTAGGGGCGATTTGTAGTGTTCTGGAACGAGAAGAAAAAATGAGATTCTCTCTCTCTCTCTCTCTCTCTCTCTCTCTCTCTCTCTTTCTCTCGCTCTCGGCTTTAATAGAAGGGAGAAAATTAGGGCTTGGCCAAAAACAGTTACTTGGGCAGCTGTTGGGCCAAAAAATGTAAGACATATAAATTATAATGTCTGGTTGCAAAATCTCGAAAATGGGCCGAAATGAAAAAAAAACGACTTTACGCGATTAAGCCGAAAATCGCCGAAACAATTTAATCTAATAACTAAAATAAATCCTAATAATTCATTTACATATTTAAATAAATAAAACACATAACAATCACATAAATATTTATCATTTAGCAGTAATAGCAGATAAAAACAAATAAAGACAAGCAGTAAATAAAATAAACGAGCAATCAATATAAGAAATTAAAATGAAGACAAAGATCAAATAAAGTACAAATAAATAATCACATAATATCTAGAAAATTCTAATAAACAAAAGGGGCACTACACAGCTACTCGAAGCAACCTGTTCCACGCTCACATCCGCCATCGTTCGCATCGAAGGATCGAGGGCTTTTTCCAATGAGAGAATGAATTCCAAAACAGTTAAATAAATGAACATTGGTACTAAAACTTACCAGAAATCAGGCAGTCCAGACGGGTGAATACGTGTTTGCAAATAAAGAAACGCTGGAGGAAAGAGTAAAGGAGAAATTCAAAAATTAGAGGAACTGGAAAATGTTAAGGTGAAATTTAAAGGGGATTGAAAGAACATGTATTTATAGGGGGCCTTGTGACCATTGGCAGTGAACAAACACGCACGACAGACACGTCTCTTAAATGAAACGCTTCACATACCCCAATAAAAGCACGTGGACCAATCCCAACCTGCAACGTACGCGAAAATCGTAAGAAAGTGAGGGTGTGTCACAAAAACATGTAACTGTTGAGAGCATTAACTAGCAGCACGTCCCTTCGTAATCGACTGCCCTATCATTTTATGCCGAGAGATACAAGCACAACCCGCCTCAAAGGGGTCTGACGTCGGTCCAGGTTGTTTCGAGGAAGTATTATAGGAAAGATTGTGGCATCAAGAGTAACCATCGTTCATGTGCCTCTTAATGCCAGGGGCCTCTATGTTGATATCAAAACTCAGGTCGTCCAAATGGAGTGTTCCACGTAGGATGATGGGGGAGGCTAAGGCCAACGATATACACCTAAAGAAAAAGCGGG